CCGCGGCGCCCGCGGCCGGACTCTCCGCACCCAGCAGCTGCAGGGTGATGGGGCGGGAGGGCGCCCCTTCCCCGCGGGCAGAGCCTTGGCTGCCAGCCTAGGCCCCGCCGGGGGAGCGGGATCCCTGAGCTCCGGGCGCTAGCTCCCGCCCCCTTCCTTCGCCGTCGCCTGTTATCGCACCAGGAGCCTCTGCACTTTGTCCCCAGCTGCCTTTGTCCCGCGTCTAGCATTCACGAAGGCAGCTTGGCTGCCCCATGTGACAGGAGTCACCCGCCCTTTGTGTAGCCTTGACCCTCCCCACAGCTCGCGGAGCTCCCCGGGATTCCTGCGGGGAAACCCGAGATCAGGGTTCAGGCAGAGGCCCTTCGAGGGAACCGAGAGGGGTGCTCCCTGCTTCCTCCCGCGGCTCCCAGCTCCAGTCTCCGCCCTCTTCCTTCTTTTTCCCAGGTTGGCTTGAGCTCGCTGGTACAGGTGAATCTGAGTCAGCCACGGAACCCCTGCGTACTTCAGAGAGGTGTCTCTACCATCTCGCTGAGCAAACTGCTGATTTCGGCGAATTCAGAGCTTCAAGGGCTGTTGAAAGAAGAGGAGATTTTACTTTTTTACCCCAATACTGGCCTCCTCTTTGCTCTTCTTTGGCCTCTATAACTGGCAGTTTTTATCTCCTTCCTCCCTCGCACCCCATGTTAGGGAGTTTGTCAGTGAATAACTACTTAGAGCCATAGAAGCTCCTTGAGCCAGAGTGGGACACAGCCACAATTCAGGTGGTGTTTAGGAAGATGATTCTGGGAATTCCAGGGGCAGAAAGCTAGTTTCAACAGCCTAGGCCGGAAGGTGACTGGTTTTTCTGCCTTGGCCCTCAAATATTGGAATCAGCCCTAAATATCTCGAGCTTTCCTTCATGATGACCTATTCATTTGTAAACCAGTTCTGAACATTTACTACTATAAACAACATAAACATCATTTATAAATGTATATAACATGGGAGGCTTTATATAAGTTAACTCTTACTCCTCAAAGACCTCACGAGCTAAGTGTCCTTACTAGGTAAAGTCTGCAGAGAGGTTAGAGCAACTTGTCCAAGGTCACCCAGCAGAAACTGGCAGAGCAGGTCTGTATGACACTGTAACCTTTGTTCTGGCACAAAAGGATTGCATTGGAGCCAAACTTATCAAATGAAAAAACAATCAATCAAGCCCCAATTCCAGCCCCAATGAAGGAACTTGTGCTAACCTAAGGCTATCTTGAACTTGCCCTCATCTACTTAGAATGTCCTCTCTCAGGTTCTGTCCATGGTGGTTCTTCCTCCTCTTCAAGGTTGGCTGCCATTTTCACCTTCTCCAGTAAACCTCCTCTGACCAGCCCAGGCCAGGGTGACTTTTTTCCCTCCCCCAGCCCTCTGTACTATTCCATTCCTCTGGCTTTTGGCACCGACTGCTCTGACATGCCAATTAAACTGTATACTCCTTGATGACCCTGTCACACTATGCTTGTGCACCTACTAGGTGTGTGAGAAATGTGTTAGTTGTTCTGGTTTAGCAGCCAGGGGAATTGTGGTCATGTGTGGATGGGGGAGGGCACCGTGCGTGCACACGTGTATGCGTGTGGAGAGCCCTATGCTCACTCCCGCATGCCCCAGTCTGGATCTGCCACGCACCAAAATCAACTCAGATTTGGTCTGTTCATTTAAGGATAGTGATCAGTGGCTGCTTCATTGAGCCGAGTAGCCAAAGTTGCCTCCTGCTGATTCCTTAGAGACCAGGCCTCAAGCTTTCAGGCTTTCATTTTCAAAATGAACCCTGACTGACAAGCAGTTACTTCCGTTGCTCTGGAAACTCCCCTCTGCAACCCCAAGTCTGTAAACACCAAACCACACACTTGCACGCACACTCACAGAGGATGCAAACAGCTGCAGCAATGTTTATTTTTAATCAAAATGCCAGCACGGTAAATGCAGGATGGGAGAATGTTTGGGCTATTAATGTTCCTTGCCACTAAGCAGGCAATTCCCTGCCCTATCACACTAATAATATCTCTGGTTCCAGTTCAAAGACTACAAGGGCAGTCTTTGAACTCATACACACATGTCCTTGCTTAACTCTGTTGCCTGAGACCGAAGCCTCAGCACTCCCCCACTGTCTTCCATTTTCTTAGCCAGTGATGTGTACCCTAGGTCACCAGCTGCCCATGTGGTTGTTTCCTCAGAACCATAGTCCATATCTCTATTTCAGTAGAGAGGGTCTCTGAAATTTAATTCCAGGGAGTGGGAAACAAACAGAAGAGTATTCCCCTCCTGAAATCAACATGCAGTCACCTGAGGTGTCTGCTATACCTCTTCTGAGGGAGTGAGGTGAAACCTTCACCCCCAGGCTTTGGAAGGGTCTCCCAGGTTGGATTTAGGATATTTGCATGGGTCCCTCCCCCACCGCTGTTTCAATGGGTTAAAGCAAAGCACTGTGAAGCTATCACAGCTACTGCAGCACGAGTTTGATCCCCGGCCTGGGGGATGACCCTCATGGCGTGGCAGACTTTTCCTGACCTGTCTGCTGCTCCCCTCAGTGGATCTGCCTGTTTTGCTCCCCACTCTGTCTCTGGTGAATCCTCTCACCCCTCCCCCCATCTCTGGCCTGCCCCCCAGCTCTGTATGTATAAATAAATAAATAAATCTTAAAAAAAAAGATTATTTGCATGGCAAATGGTGACAGTCGGTGTCTATTCCAAACTTTAGTGGCCTTGCTAAGGTTTTTAGGGGTTTGTTTATAGATCTTGGATGACAGAAACTAGAAGAGATCTTAACGTTTCCTTGGCCCAAATGTCATTGAACGGTCAGAGCATGGCCAAAGGCAGAGAAACTTCCAGCTGAAGTGTTAGATGTACCTTGGAAATTAATCTCAGTGAAGAGAGCAGCTCAGATACAATTTCATATAGGAAGTCAGTGGGGAATAGTAAGTTATCTGCAAGTTTTATTCCATACAGTTACTTAGGAATGTGCTCCTGGGTGAAGTCCAAGGCATGTGTGTCTATGCAGTTTGCCAATCAGGCTTGTGGATTCAGACAATTCACAGGTGCAAAACAAACAGGAGGTAAATGTGTGGAATATGGGCAGTAAAGTCCCTCAGGCTTCTATAACCCTCACCCAGGGAGGAAGCAAGGAAAATTCTAGAGGTTTCAGATAGAAAGTATAAGTTGTCTTTCTTCCAAAGACCTGAGCAGATATCATCAGATGATTTTCAAAGACAGAAAAAGCCACAGAGTGAAAGCTCTTTGCTACTGAGCGAGAGCATATAAATGTGTGGGGGTATACAGCCAGATGTCACTGTCTCCACTTGTCACCCAACCCCCCCACCCCTTTGTGTCAGATCTTGACATGAGTAGAGTGCTGTAAAGTTTAACATCTTGAATATTTTCCCTTATACTATAGAACAAAGCACATTTAGTAAGCACATTAAAAATTCTTTACCAGAAATTTGAAATGATTTTTTCCCAGGCCTTCAGTAAACTGTGATATACATTTTAGGGGGGAAAATTATGATCTTTGGGGACTGGGTAAGCTTACAACCATAGACGCTGGTAGGATGCAGTTGAGCCACAAGATGAGGGTTTTGTAAAATGACAGAATGAAGGGAACTAATAGGAAACAGAAAAGTCATTCTGCCTACGACTCGGGCTGCAAGGCATAACTTGGAGCCCAAGTATCAAAGATGGGCCCTGAAGTGTGACAAGAAAATAATTTTCCACTACACATTTCCTGGATACTGCAATGCTAAGTGTCAAGTCCAAGTATTACCACGTGATGCCACACGAGGGCGCTCGTGTGACTGCGAATCGGTGTATGCGAAAACACGGAAAGGTCGCACAGATTTTAACCTGGGGGGAAGGTTATTGCTGGTACTTCTAAGGTGAATTCAGGTTTCTACCCATGATCGCTCTGCTCACCCATGGCCCTTAAGTAGATGTGAGGAAGGAGCTACAAGTATCAGGGGCTGTGGTAAGAAAGTCATGGTGTCATCTTGAAGAGAATGTGAAAAATCTAGAGAGAGAAGGGAGCAAAATAGCGTTTCCTTACTTTATCTGAGAGGACTTGGCTGCTGTAATATGTAAGGCTTGCAGTAGTAAGCCTCCCTGTGGTTTTCAGAGTGCTTTCATATTTCAAAATGATCTCTTTGACCTAAGCATCGAGCCTGTGATGTATATAGAAAAGATGGTATTTATATCCAATTCGCACACAAGACTGATTAATGGCTTGCCCAGAGCTCCATTAAAAATAGGCAGGAGATGGTAGGAATGCAAACTAGTACAACCACTATGGAAAACTGTTCGGAGGTTCCTCAAACTGCTCAACATAGAGCTTCTCTACGACCCAGCAATCCCACTCCTAGGTATCTACCCAAAAGACACAAAAACACTGATTGAAAAAGATACCTTCACCCCCATGTTTATTGCTGCTTTATTTACAATTGGAAAAACATGGAAGCAGCCCAAATGCCCAAAAGTAGATGACTGGATTAAAAAGATGTGGTACATACATACAATGGAATATTACTCAGCAACC